CCCGGGGCCACGGGTGGATTTTTGGGGGATGTCGTCAAGCTTCCGGGCGCTGGATGCCAGTCTGAGCTCTGATTCTGATCTCTATGAAGCTGGGCACGCGCTGGTCCCTCTCTGGGCCTGCGGCGTCCTCCTCAGCACACGGAGAGTTGGTCCTCGGACTGCATTGAGATGATGCTCAGATGAGGGGCAGGCCAGGAGGCAGCAGGGGGGATCCCCACTAAAGAGCGGCCCCCTCTGCCACATGTAAGGGCCCTGAGGGGAGCTCTTCAGGCTGGCAGGACTAGAGCCCGCAGCAGCCAGGGCACCTGCCCTCTTTCTCCTCGGCCTCTGATGTGGGGAGATAGCTGGGGGCAGGAGGGGGCACATCCAGAGGGGGGAGCGGCTGGGGCCTCCTCAGGGGACTAGTTTTTGGCGGGAACCTCTTGAGCACAGTTAGGTCTGTGCCCAGCCAGCTGCTCAGGGAGGGCGGCCGAGTTTGGGGCTCTGAGCTCGGCCTTTTTGGAGGGGCCCAGACACTTGCCATGGGGGGTCTTCCCTCCCCTTCCTCACGTCCTCCCCCTAAGTCTGATGGACTTGGTTTCAGAGTCATGGTCGCTGGGTTTGCATCCCCAGGCCGCACTTCCTGTCCGCCAGGTCTTGTGAGAGCCAGCCACCTCTCTACGACTCCGTTTTCTCATCTGGGAGATGTCAGGGTCAAGGTAGGAGCAGGGAGGGGGCGCCCCCTGCACAGCCCTGGCTGGACTGGAAGGGGCTTCAGAAGGCTTGGGGAGACGAAGCCAGGCTCCATGGCTGTAGTTGGCATAGGACAACCTGAGAGATGGAGCCACAAAGACAAGGGTCCTCATTTTGGAGTGGCTGAGGGGGGGCCAGAGAAGCCCTAGGGGCCGGGGGGGCAGACCCACTCAGGAACCAGAGAAGGTGACCAGAAGGGGCTCATAGTCCCTTGAGAGAGCCGGCGACAGGGCCAACGGTGGGGAGAGAGGAGCCATACAAAAGGAGGAGGAAGTGGTCGGTGCTTCCCTGGGAGGCTAGGTTCCTCAAGGCAGGGACCCTGAACCTGACAATCCAGTGCCTGGGGGAATTTAGTGCTCACAGGACTTTTTCGGGTTCAGCCCCCAGTTCATATAGCTAGAGCCTTCACCCAACCCCAGTGCCTTTTAGGAGTAACCCAGCCTTTGACTGCCATTCAAGAGCCCCTGCCCGTAGCTGCCCGTCAAGTTCCGTTCATAGGTTCAGACCTCTGTGCCTTTGCCTATGCTGTTCCCTTTGCCTTTCCCCATTCTTCTCCCCCAAATCTTCTTTGCCCAACTTAATACTTCCTTCATATAACCCTCTGTATTGTTACCGACCCCCCCAAGTTGAAACTTTGGAACACTTTGGCCCATTTCAGTATTCCTTGTGTCTTCTAGCGTGCTTGGCACACAGCAGAAAGTCACAGGTATTTTAAAGTTAATCTGCACCCACTGGGTGTTCAGTATACATCTTTGTGACTCTGTGGTGGGTCCTCAGGTTGGAGGAGGGAGTTAACAGTTGTGAAGCTGTTGCCCTCAGGAGCCATGGTCAACCAGGAACCTCAAAGTTCATTCAGCTACCACCCAGCCCACGCTCACGGGGCAGTAACTCCTCGCAGAAGCCAGAGCAGGTCGTACTTCCCCCATCTTCCGGTGGGGGAGGTTCAGCACAGCCGTTGACGATGAAGCAAGAACACCAAACTTGGGACCTGGTCTCTACATACCCAGTGACTTCTCTTTCTCGGCGGCCCAGCGAGGGCGTGTCCTCATCCCAGCCTGAGGCCGGCCTGTGGTTGGCACCTGAGTGTGTTTGTTGACTGACCTGCTGACTGGCTGGCTGGGCCCAGGCTCCGTGGCCCTGAGGGCCGTGGCTTGCACAGAAGACAGAGGCCTTGCTCAGGAGAGGCTCCCAGGCTTCAGGGCCTGGGGAGCATGCGCACAACTCCAGTTGGTGACCGCAGCTGCCTCTGCCTCTCACTGGGTTTCGGCGACAACTGAGTCATCCCAAGAGACAGGATGTTCCTCTTTGTGCACCCAGGGGCCCCTGTGATTGGGCAGCCGGCTTTGCGGCATGACTAGAAAAATGCCCTTTAAAAAGTCAAAAAACCACATGCCTCCCCAGCCCGTTCCTCAGTGGAGGTTTCAGGAAGAGAAAAGCAGTGGCCCTTGGCAGCTCCCATACCTCCCCAAGTAGCAGGGCCCAGAAGGCCTAGTCCATCCCAGAGGGTGGGCCTCGCCTGGGGCATTCGCTTAAATGCAGATTCCTGGGCCCTATCCCAGGGCCACAGAGTCTGGCTCTCCCTGGGTCGACCTAGGAATCTGTGTTCTTAGAGAATTTTTTTTTTTAAGATTTTATTTATTTGTCAGAGAGAGAGAGAGAGAGAGTGAGCACAAGCAGGGAGAATGGCAGGAAGAGGGAGAAGCAGGCTTCCCGCTGAGCAAGGAGCCCGATGCAGGACTCGATCCCAGGACCCTGGGATCATGACCTGAGCCAAAGGCAGACGCTTAACTGACTGAGCCACCCAGGCGTCCCTGCAGTCTTAGAGAATTCTTAAGAACACTCAAGCTAAAGGCCCACTGGCAGGGATTCCCGAGAGGGATGCAGGCCCCCCAGAGGATATGGGAAGCAAGGATTAGAGCTTCTCCTTAAAAGATTTATTTATTATTGCATCTTTTTTAAAAAAAGTTGTTTTGGATATATTTTTCCTAATACATGTATTTTTTCTAATACATCAGCATGAGGATGCATTTATGTCAAGGTCTCAAGATACCTGTAGAGCAAGAGAGCATGAGAGCAAATATATGTTTCTGATGAGTGTTGTGACAGAAAATGGGAGATTACTGGCCCAAATGAATAGTTTCAGATCTTGGTCTGTCACTCACCAGCTGGGTGATCTTGGCCAAGTCACTGCTCCAGGCCAGGCTTTTCCTGTGACCTGCTTCCCTGTTTGGGGTGAGGGCAGATGGAGAACACACAGGCTGGCACAGAGTGGGCACGGCATCTGTGGTGGGGGTGGTGGGGAGGCCCCGCAGGGTGATCTGGGACAGTTCTGCGGGGGAGAGAGGAAGATGGGGTACGGGGGAGGGGATGAGCCCCCCCGCCCCCCCAGGCCTGCTGCAGGCACAGGGGTGGCAGCCAGAAGCCATGCAATGTGATTCCTCCCCTGTCCCTACCCCAGCCCTTGAGAAGGCTGCAGCCTTTCTTGTGATGCACTGTTCCCCGGGGAACTTTCTATCCAGAAATAGTTGCCTGCTGACTTTTCTCAACCGTATAAATCAAGGCTCTGACCAAGCCCCGAGTGCTCACGAGCCTGCAGGGACACAGACCTGTCTGTTCTCCAGGGAGGCCTAGGATTATAGATCACTGTGTCCCCTGCATGGGGGGAAGAGCCCAGGCCTGGGCTGTGAGGTGACCTGTCACCCCAGCCTTGTCTTGCCCGATGGGTGGCTTCAGGCGCCTGCCTGCTGCTCTCTGGGTCTCAGTTTTCCCACCTGCAGAGTCAAGCTTTTGTATGAGCTAACCTGGGGGACCACGCCGCTGCTCCGTCGGCTGGGAGCTTGGGGAGTGTTGGCCATAGCCCAGGGCTGGGAAAGAAAGGCGACGGGAGATGAGAGAGAGCGAAGGAGAAGAGGGCAGGAGGAGAGGATAGAAGGAAGAAGGTCCCTCTGCAGCCAGACTCCCTCTTCTGGTTCCTTCTCCCCGAGCCTTCAGAGAGAAACTTCTAAGCAGCAGCTCTGGTTGTGCTGTCCTGAGCATGGGATGCTCCAAAGGGGACCCGAGAGGCCCTCCTGGCTCTGGCCACCACCTCTCCTTGCCCACGCTCTGCTGTCAGAGCCCCCAGGCCCTGCCCCAACCCCACAGCCATTGGGGACACCACTGCCGTGTCGCCCCCTCCTGCCTCCATGGTGCCCGGGGCGCCCCTGCCTGCACATGCTCTCTCTCTCTCTCCCCCTCTCTCTCTTTTTTTAATTTAGGTGAAATTCACATACCATAAAATTAACAATTTCAAAAGGAACCATTCATTTAGTATATGTATAATGTACGGCCGCCACCTGTATCCAGTTCCAACACACTTGCATCACCCCGAAAGGCAACCTCGCGGCCATGAAGCAGTCACTCCCCATTCCACCCTCCCCCAGCCCCTGGGAGCTGCCAGTCTGCTTTTCGTCTCCATGGATTTACCTATTCTGGGTATTTACTATATGTGGAATCTTACTATATGTGACCCGCTGTGCCTGGCTTCTTTCACCTCGCCTAATGCTGTTCAGGTTCATCCTTGTGGTGGCGAGTCCCAGCCCTTCCTTCCTTTCGATGGCGTGTACCCTGCACAGTGTTTGTGCACTCATCCGTCGATCAGCATTGGGGCCGTTTCCCCCTTGCGGCTTTTGCGAGTAGAGCTGCTCTGAACGCGTGTGTACGGGTGTTGGTTTGAGTACCTGTTTTCAATTATTTGGAAGACTGGAATGTTCTTTTCACCCCCCCCCCCAGTCTGCATTCTTACCCGAGGGGGTTCCGGGAAGGTTCCCAGAGGAAGTAGCTCCTGGACTAAGCCTTGCCTGCTTCTTAGGCCGGCCGTGCCCCCCACCAGCCCCCGCCCCGTGCTTCCTGGTCATGCTCACCTTGGTTGGTAGTCGCTGCCTGTTTGTCTGCTTCTTCCTGGGCTCTCCGTGTCCTGGCACCCATGCACAGAGCCTGGGACACAGTGACAATCACTAACACACAAGGGACTCTCACCAGGGCCGGCCTCCTGCTCCTTACCCTGTATCTCAAGTAATTTATACGAGTCTTGAGGGAGCGAGGAATTAGGCTCCTGGTTTTGCTAAAGAGAATGAAGGTGGCGTGACTCACCCGAGGTCACACAGCTTCCACGGGTTAGAGTCAGGAGCTGCCCCAGGGCTGTCTGATTCCAGCATTCCTGCCGGTAACCTGCTCGGAAGCTGGGAGGGGACTGGAGGAGTGAGGCTGTCCCTTGATTGTGTCCCCCACAGGCAGCAGGCAGGATGGCCGGTACTGAGAGAAGCTGGCGGTGACTCGGGTGCCCAGAGTGGCAGCTCCGTCTCCTGAAGATGAAGTGGCCCAGGTGAAGAGCAGGCGAGGCCCGATGGCCAGCTCCAGGACAGAGGTGCGCTGGGCCGAGCTGGGCCTGGGGAGGGGGCCCCAGCGGCGGCGCTGGGCCTGGGCCGAAGAGGAAAAGGTTGCCAAGGGGAGCGGGGGGAAAGAGGTGGCCTTTCCCAGTGCCACCAGCCCCGAGCTCCTGGAGGACTTCCGGCTGGCCCAGCAGCGCCTTCAGCCGCTGGAGTGGGACCCGGACCCGCGGGCTGCTGAACGCCAAGATTCTGAATCGGGAGAGTCTGCAGGAGAGGGTAAGACTGACCCCCCAACCCCACCCCACAGGGGTGCCCCCTGACCATCCCGCCTTCTGGTCGGAGGTGGGGAGTGGAGGGTGTTTTAGCGATTCTTTTAAATTAAAATCCATAAAGCCTATAATTTAAAATTTTAAACGATTTGAATTACATAAGTTGTAATGTTCATTGCAGAAAAATCAGCAAATATAAGCAAAAGAGAAAAATTACTTATTATCCAGATAACTGCTCTTTTCCTTATAAATATGCAAATGTGATATGCATATGGAACAGTACTCTACAAATGCTAGGATAACCTGCTTTTTTGTAACTTAATAGACATGAACATCTTCCCAGCTCGTCGTATATCCCTCAAGTCGTTCCTAATGCACGCAAAGCAATTCCATGGGGTGGATAGTCTGTAATCTGGGGGCCAATTTCTTGCTATTATAGATAATACAGAGATGAGTATCATTAGTACATCTTTGCACATGTGATTTGATAATAACCTTGGTCATTTAAACTGCTTGGTCCCAGGGTTATGCCCAGCTTTAAGATTTTCTAAAAATCCCAATTAGCAATGACAATATGGCCATGCCTTGTTTTCTAAAATGAGTGTTTCCTTTGCATGGAGCCCATCTCAGACTAAATTCCTAGTTTTGCTGAGAAGTCCCTTGTCTCTGAATCTTGGTTTGCCCATCTGTGAAATGGGAGCAGTAATGCCACTGAGAGTAGCATGAGCTTGGTAATGTGGTGCCAGTTGCACTTACAACATGAACACAAAACGCCCTGACTTCAGATTCTGTGAATCGGGCAGGCCCCCGTGGATGGTGGCGAAGGCAGTAAACTGGAAGCAGATTGTGCCGTGACCCAAAGTTCTTTATGCTGGGTCTGCTTAAAGTGGGGCTTGCTCACGGCTACCCACTCAGGAGCGACTTCCAGCCTGTCAGGGAGAGGTGACCGACGTACACTGGGAGGAGAGGGCAGAGGTATCCCTTCCTAAGGTCACATGGTAACCCCTTGCTATGACATAATAGCCACTGCCGATGTCCTTTGCCCTTACTGTGTGCCAGGCGCAGGGCTGAGCAGGGTGCAAGCCGTGTTTCCTTCTCTCCTCACCATCTTCTGCCAGGTAAGAGAGGTGAGCCTCCAGTCCAAGTAAGGGTTGCCGAAGTGGGCAGCAACTTGCCCACGGGCCCCAGGAAGGGATCAGAGGGGCCAAGATTGAACCCAGGGATCCCTGGCTCCAAAGCCTGTTTTCCTCACCGTGCTGCATGACCCCCAGCTGCAGAGACTAACTCGCCAGCATGGCTGGGACCTTGGTCCCAAGTCCAGGATTGCTGTGAGCCACTGCCTGATCTTTGGCAAGTTACTTAACCTCTCTGGGCTTCACGTGTGCTGCTGTAAAGAAGAGAGACTTGCTGAAGGAGTTGAAGGATGTAGAGGTGCCAGGGGAAAGGCCACGGGGGAGCAGAGAGTGGTACAAGGGTGATGACAAAGGTGTATCTGCCCAGAGCGGAGAATCTGTGCTTGATGGTCCCAGACTGTGTCTCATGAAACCTTGGATCTATCCCAGAGGCTGACATAGGTTCCAGGGCAAAGTCGGTGCTCAATAAACATTGACTGCATGGATGATGCATAGATATATGCATGAGCGGGTGGATGGGTAATGGGTGGGTGAGGGGGTGGGTGGAGAGGTGGATGGATGGGTGAGTGGGTGACGGATAGGTGAGTGGGTGGTCGACAGGTGGATGGATAGATGGGTGGGTGGATGGCTGGATCAATGGGCGAACGGGTGATGGATGGGTACGGGGTTGGAAGGATAGTGAATGGATGGGTGGATGGATTTTTTTTGACCATATTGTCCTCCCTCCCTCGCTTCTTTCCTTCCTTCCATTCAGCCAACAAATATTGAGCACCTACTCTGCAAATATAATAGTAAACAAAAACAGAGCGTATCCTTGCTCTCATGGAGATTACCATGTGGTGGGGGAGACAAATATTAATGAAACAATCATGAAAACAAATGGAAAACAGGAGCTATGATAAGTGTTTCAAAGTAGAGGTATTCAGTCTTATGAAAACCTGTAGAAGGGAGAATCTGACCTAGTTAGGAGATCTGAGATTTCCCTGATGAAGTCAAGGTTGAGCTAATGCCTGAAGGACAGTTAGGAGTTAACTAGGCAAAGGGAGGGAGAGAGGACCCTGGCAGAGAGATCAGCATGGGCAAAGACCCTGTGGTTGGAGCAATGTGGCATGGCTAGAGCAGGGAGAGACTGAGGGGGACCATAGGAAAGAGATGGATTTAGGAGAGCTAATGGGGTATGGAGACAGGGATCTTAGGACCATACTCTGTCCTGGGGACAAGAAGATACTGCTGAGTCATCAGATAGGGGATGAAGGCAATGGTCCCGGCAAGAGAGGATGCTGGCTAGAGTAAAGGCGGTGCAGGATTAAGAGCATTAGGTAAGTTTGAGAGCTCTGTAGGAGGTGATCGCGACAGGATCAGGGGACAGAATGGATTATGGGGATTGGGTGGAGGTGAGGGGGTGGGGGGGTGGTAATGGCCAAGGTGCTGCCCAAGATTCTGGCTTGTGCAACTGGATGGAATGGTGTTTTCATTTGCTGAGACAGGAAATACTGAGGGACACCCAGGTTTGAGGATCAGGTTTGGAGGACTGGGGACAACTAGAGGAGGTGCTAGGTAAGTACTTGGCCATATAGGGGGGTCACTGGGATTCTGGCCATCACCGCAGGATGAGGAAATGAAAGCCCAGAGCGGTGAAATGACCGGTCGTGTTACACAGTGAGTCCAGACCTGGTATATCCTGAGCAATGACCTGTCTTTCCAGAGTTTGGAGGAGAGGATGTGGACAGCCCAGAAAGTTCCAACTTGCCTCTCAACTGGATCCCCCAGCAGGATCCTCACCTGGCCATGACTGAAGAGGATCCGGATGAAGCCCTTGGAGATCCTGAGGTGGGGGGAGCTGGAGAGAGCTCCCCAAGATCGGAGTATGAGACTGGTCTCAGCTCAGGGGACAATGGAAATACCAGCCCCAGCGCTCTGGGGTGGGGTCAGGACATGGGCTGGGTGGCCTCTGGCAAACAAGCCAGTGGAGACAAACTTCCAGAACATTCTGAGGACAACCCAACTGTTGACCTCAGCTCTGCAAGGTCCTGGAGCAGTGGGACCATGAGCCTCGACCACGCCAATGATCACCTTGATTCTACCTGGGAAGGAGAAACTGATGTCCCCCAGCCCGTCGCGCTGGCAGAAACCTTACCACAGAGCTCCAGCCACCACCTCCTAAACCCAGACACCAGAACTGGAGGAAGTGTTGCTCTGGCAACCCCCACGGAATTCCAGGACTCCTCAATACCCCAGGCCCAGAGCCTCCAGTGTCCGGCAGATAAGTGGAAAGAAAGTACCAACCTCTCCTGCCCTCAGTTGGGGGACCAAGCCTGGAAACGGACACGGACATCCCCTAAGCCGCTCCCTTCTCGATTCACCGGCTCCATCAGCCCCCTGAATCCACCTAGGCCAGGCCGACAAGACAGGCTACCACCCAGGCAGGGAGCCACTCTGGCTGGCCACTCATCTTCTGATGCCTCCAAATATGGGCGGGGGCAGCTGAACTACCCGCTCCCTGATTTCTCCAAGGTGGGACCCCGGGTAAGGTTCCCCAAAGATGAGAGCTACCACCCCCCCAAGGCCAGGAGTTACAGCAGGCAGCCTCAGGGCCCTGCCAGGCCGCTGATCTTCAAGTCACCGGCTGAGATTGTGCAGGAGGTACTGTTGAGCAGCGGAGAAATCTGCCCGGCCAAGGACCCACCTCCTACACACCCCATCACCAGGGTACCCCAAGAATTTCAGACGCCTGAACAAGCCACCAAGCTGGTCCATCAGCTCCAGGTAAGCTGGACTCATGTCTATAGGCATGTCACCAAGGCACCTGTTGGCCCAGAGTTCGAGGCAGTTTGGATAGGAAGTCTGACTGGGCCAAGAATCCCCTGCTGGTAGAGCGAGGGCTGTACCCGAGCTGTGAACATAGTCCTAAGCCCTTTGCTCAAGAAGAGCAGTGCTTACCCTCACGCCCCAAGGATAATCTGTGTGTGTGTGTGTGTTTGTTTTTAACTTCTACTGCGGGAAATTCAAAACATCTACAAGACAGAAAATGGTATAATGAACCCCCGAGTACCTGCCCCCCCGCCCCCAGCAGCCTTTTTCACCTATGGCCTCATCTCTTCCCCCACTCACCGTACTGGAATATTTTCGAAGCAAATTTCAGGCCTCGAATCATCTTACCCAGAAATATTTTAGTGTGTATGTCTAAAGATCAGGACTCTCTCTGAAACCTCACGATCCCATTAGCATACCTAAAAGCCAACCCCAATTCTTTAATATTATCCAATATCCAGTCCGTGTTCAGATCTCCCCTTTGTCTCATAAACGGCTTATTTATTTCAGTTGGTTCGAATCACGGTCCAAATGTGCCTTTCAAGTCTCCCCCATCCCACCCCCGTTTTTTTCAGGTCTCCTCCTTCCTTTTAGTTTATTGGTTGAGGAAACCAGGCCCGTCCCGTAGAGTCTCCCACATTCTGGAGTTTGCCGACACACCCTCTTGTCTCTCTTCCTATGTCCCACTGTCCCCTCCTTGTCCTGTATGTTGTCAGTCTAGAGCTCGAAGCTTTCTTGGGTTGCAACCATCTGCTTATTTCCCCTCCAGCCCACCAGCTCCAGGCGGGTAGGATTTTTTTTTTTTTTTTTTTTTTTTTTTGGCAAGAGCATGTCACAGGTGGTTCGTCATGGGATGCTTGCTCATTTCTTATTTGTGATGTCCATGGCCACCGATGGCCATGGCCTTGATCCAGTCCTCCCTTTGGGGTGACAAAGTGGTAGTATCCTAATGCCGTCGTTCCTTCTGCATTTACTTGCTGGAAATCTTCTATAAAGTAAAATTTTCCCTCATCGACTGTTTGGTTACCAAGATCTTGTTCATGTGGGAAACACAGGAGAAACGCTTGCGTCTGTCCTTCTGATCACCAGTTTTCAGAGCAATGCATCTGTTCCCCGACATCCTTCAAAGGCGGCAGGTGCCGTTTGTTTTCGCCTTTTCCCTGCCATGACTTGTTTGATGAAGCTGTTCAGTTTTGTCTGGGGCAAGTAGTGACTCTGAGTACATGCGATTGTGATTTCCAAGTCTTCTACGGGACCCATGGATGATTCATTCCATCCACCATTAAAAACCCACTTAGGAAGCTCATGCTCCTCAAGCGCTGGTAATAGAGCAGTGGGGAAGACGGATGTGGGCCTCAGCCCACAGAGCTGACAGACGCGCAGGGAGTTAGGATGGATGAGCACGTAGTTGCGGTCCTCGGTGACGGGTTATGCATCAAGGTAAACCAGCCCAGAGGCCCTCATCCCTGATTTACTGTCAGCGAAGTTAGCAGGCTGTCCTGCGCCTCTCCCACTCAGAATTTGGCCACGGGGGTGCGTGGGTTGCATGCGAGCCTGCAGGGCTCGGCTTAGCTCCCACCTCTGAGCTCTTGCACTCTGAGGAACCCTTTGGAGCCTGGGCTCCCCTGAGGGGTCTCACGGTGAGGGGTATGGGTGCATGACCCTGTTGTTCCTCCTCTCCCGCAGGAGGACTACCACAAGCTCCTCACCAAGTACGCTGAGGCCGAGAACACCATTGACCAGCTGCGCCTTGGGGCCAAGGTACCGGCTGGGGTAGGGTGGCGGTGGGGGCCTGGCCCCCGAGAGATGACACTCCCCCACAGTCTTTGCTCCTGCCTCCTGAGACCCCGGGGATATAGAAGAACCCAATCCTCAGTCTACCACAGGGTCCCTCTGTGACCTTGGGCATTGACCTTGCTCTCTCTGGGCTCCATCTCCTTTATCATTGATGAACTTTGATGTCCTTGAATCCTAGAATCTGGGTTCCCAGGATTTTCACCAGAGCAGCTCTGGGGTCAGACCACTTGGGCTCTGCTCCTGGCTCCATTACTGAGCGGCTGTGTGACGCCGAGCAAGTTTCTTGGGCTCTCTGAGCCTCAAGGGAGTAGCACAGAGCTTCTGCTCGGCTCCTGGTGCTTATTTCCTGGGCCTGATCCTTCCCGAATGTCTCATGCACAGCCTCCCCCCTCACCCCCTGACTGAATGTCCAGTATTGTAGCAGAGGGAGTGAGGAGGGGGAAATCCATCCACACCCATCCTGCTCAGCCCCCATCCTGCCTGGGGAGGAGGCTGTGAATTCTCACTTGGGGCCTTCCCCTTTCTGGGGGTGAGGCAGGAAGTGGGGCCTCTTACAGCCCCTCGTGGCTTCCTGTGTCCTTTGCCCCGCCTCTTGCTGCATCAGGCCACAGTGGAGAGGGGGATGGGAGCTGAGGTGCAAAGACCCAGACCTTCCCTCTTCCTTGCCTGCTCTCTCAGGGCCCCCACCTGGCCCGTCCCTGTCGTGCTCCAGGAAGCCTCCCCTGCCACAGGCTGCTGTCCAGCGTCCAGAGGCACTTCGGTGAAGTGTCTCCGAGGCAGCCCTGATAAGAAAACGGAAGAGGTCCTGTTCTGGGAGCAGTTCTCCTGTGTCCCCACACCCGTCAGGATGCGGGCAGGTCCCTTCCATCCTGGCCTCCTTGGGTACATCGGCGAAATCCTGGGAGCCAGTGGGTTCCCCCTGATGTCTTAAGGCTCCTTCTAGCTCTCTGAACGCCGGAGCCAGAGTCAGGGTGGGAGGGCAGGGGAAGTCGGGGAGGACCCAGGTGGGGCTTGGTGAGGCAGTCTCTGGGGGAACCATGCCCACACGGCTGCAGACTCCTAGAAGTTCCAAGGAGAGAGGAACTGGCCATCAAATCCAAACGCTCAGCTCCCCCGGCTAACAAATTGGGAATTGGGTCCCCAGGACGCGCAGAGGCTGCCAGAGTTCAAGGTCGGGGGCAGAGCCTTGGAGCATCTCCTCCCTCCCTCCCTCTTCTCCTTGCTTCCTCCGAGTGAGTCACTATATGAAAAGCATGTACCAGGGCCTGGCAAATACTTCTGAAGAGATGGGGACTCTTCTTTTGAATATTACTAATATGAAGCTGTTTATCGGGTGCCCGTGTGCGCCAAGGACAGGGCAGGCGTGGACACCAAGGGAGCACAGCCGTGGGGCCTCCTGTCATGGGTGCTCCCCCAGCCCGGTGGGGACCCAAAGTGTCCCCATGGGCAGTCACCTTGTTCCGGCTGATGACCCAGACCCATCTCTTGTGTGTGAGAGGAGCATAGGAGGGAAGGTGGGAGAGGCTGGGGATGGTTCAGTACCAGCTCACCCACTCTCACTTTCTGGAAAAATGACTCCTTAGTTTGGGGGTTCTCCTCAAGAGAAGAGTGAGCATAGGTCAGCTAGACTCTTCCAGAAGCAGGATGATTCTCTCCCAGTCCCCCAGTCTCCCCTGCCGGGCCGTACAGGCAGGGCTTACCGTCCCGGTGGGCTGAAGAGGACACGGAGCCCGATCGGGGAGGGGATGGCATGGTCCCACGGGGTCAGCCGGGCTTTTGACCCTGTCCCCGGCTCTGTGGACTCCACCCTGAAGACTCAGGAGACCCCCGTGTGGCTTCCTGCTCAGAGCCCTTGCCGGGGAGGCCAGTTCACGGAGGCAGAAATGTTCCTGCTCCCTCAGACTAAGCCGGTGGAAGTGGACTCCCCAGGGACTTGCTGAGCGCCCCCCCTACTCTGCTCAGAGCCCAAGGGGGAGGGGTGGACCCGTGTGGGAGGGAGCCAGGCTGGGGACATTGCCCTCAGGACACCCAGGCCAGCCCGGCGGTGGGTGGGCAGCAATGGGTGGGGACCTAGGGGAAAGCGACTGGCATATACTGAGCCTGGCATATACTGAGCCGTGAGAAGGCGTCAGGCCCCAGGCTAAGTATTACCAGGGTCACCTCATTTGATCTGCACAAGAGAAAACTGAGGCACAGCCAGGCCGTGGTTTGTTCAAGACCCTACAGCTGGTAAGGGATTAAAAGTTGGGGATTAAACCCATGTCTGCCTGATTCCAGAATGGGCGCTCTTTTCCCCATGCCTGGGTGAGCAGGATTTGGGCTCTGGCGCTGGGCATGTGGCAGAGGCTCAGGGACAAGGCAGAATGACGATGTTATAGTAACAGCAGTGATAGCGATGTTTACTGAACACTGTCCTGAGTTATTTACCACTGGGGAAACTGAGGCACAGGGAAGCTAAGAAATTTGCCCATCGCTCAACAAGCAGGTGCCCGAGCTGGGCCTTGAGCCCAGCAGTCTGGCTCCTAAGCCCACTATTAACCCCACCTTCTCTAGCAGAACCAGACTAGGCAATGGTGGGCCCTGCAGCTGGGGAGGCTGTGGGGGGGGCGTCCCAAGGCCTGGCCTGGGGGCACCCCTGGAACCGGACTGGGGGTGGGGGCAGGGAGCCAGGGCTCTCTTCTCTCCCCCAGCTCAGGGCCACAGTTGATGGTGATCTCACCGATTTGCTGTCAGGCTGTCACCTCCCCCCAGCTGCTGTTCCTGGGCTCAGCTGCAGGGGCATCTGGAGGGGCTGAGGAGACCAGAAACTACCCCAGAAAGAGTTGGGGGAGGAAGTTGCAGAAAACTGCCTTTCCTAAAATGTGTGTTCTGCTGACCACTAGTTGGTCCCAGAGCCCCTGATAGAGGTGTGTGTGTGTGTGTGTGTGTGTGTGTGTGTGTGTGCGCGCGCGCGCGCGCACGCGCACGTGCACATGTGTGTGGGGGGGGGGGGGGGGGGGCATGGAGCTTAGTCTTCAGAGGATTTGGGGGAAACATTTCCTATTCTCTCTACTCCCCCGCTCCTCGCCCCATTCATAAAGCCCATTAGCATTTTAAAGGCTCTGAGAAACCCATCTGTGCAAAGACTAGTCAGTTATTTAACCCTGTGTTTCCCACACTTGCTGATCTACTGTTCACTGATTAACCCCCCTGAGGGAGCTAATCCAGCCTCAGGGAGCTCCACAGGACACCCTGGCTTAAAAGGAGTGCCCTGGGGCACTGGGATGGGTGCTGCCTAAGTCCCGAGACAGATCCCGAGAGGGAGGGGCCTAAGCAGCTTCAAATTATCTGCACTTACCCCCAGCTCCCCCTTCCCGGGCCTCTACAAGGACTTTTGGCCCCTAGGCTGAAACAGTGCTTTCCTGTTGCTCCCCAGGTTGGGCCTTGGTGGGCTGGGCCTGAGGTGGGGTTGGGGGAAGGATGGGGCAGGGGAAGTATGCAGGAGGGTTTCCCCAGATTTGGGTCACCATGGGAGGAAAGGGGTGCTAGTGGGAAAGCCCCCACAGGCGGGTCTGAGCAGATGGCGGAGAGGATTATTAAAATCCAGCTTTGTTCTCATCAGAGGCTGGGTCTGAAGGAGGGGGAGGCGATGGGGGCCAGGCCATGCTGGGCCATTGTCCCTCACTTTGGAGTAGATTTTTCTGCCACAGCCGGGACGTGAAGAGCAGCTTAAGCAGGGAGAGGCTGCCTGCCTGGGGACTAGGGAGCTCCGTCTATCAGGCATACCCTAAACTGCCCACTCCTGACCCTGGGGCAGCAGGGAGCAGTAAGATAGGCTGCCTGACCAGCTGGAGGGCACTGAGGCACCACAGGGGAATAGCTTTTCCAGGGACCTGCCTTCATGATGGCCCCATAAATGACAATGGTGATGATAATGGTGATGTGATGATGATGGAGAGAATGATGATGGTGATGATGGTGGAAATGGTGGTAAATATAGTGATAGTGGTGGTGATGATAGTGATGGTGACCATGATAGTGGTGATGATGGTGATGGTGATAACGGTGGTGATGGTGAAGATGGAGGTGATGGTGATAAGGATAGTGATGGTGGTGATAGTGATGATGACGGTGATAATGGTGAGGGTGGTGGTGATGGTGTTAACGGTGATGGTGATGGTGTTGATGATGGTGATGATGGTGAGGGTGGTGGTGATGGTGTTAATGGTGATGGTGATGGTGTTGATGATGGTGATGATGGTGATGATGGTGATGGTGATGGTGATGATGGTGATGATGGTGATGGTGGTAATGGTAATGATGATGGTGATGATAGTGATGATGGTAATGGTGATGATGGTGATGGTGGTGATGGCGATGATGGTGGTGATGGTGATGAT